GTAAACAGCTGTGAGAACTGCACTGTAATCACTAATCATTAACCATAAGTGACAACTACCTATCCCCAATTGTAGCACTTCAGCACTTATCTATTCATAAACTCCTTCCACATTCCAACCATTGCAAATTGTCAAAACGACGTTCGCATTCTTGGAAGATTATTTTCAGTTGAAGAGGGCTAAAAAGGTATGTAGGTTTAACTGTATAACAACACATGTATAACAACAATTAAGTATGGTCTTCAGTCGTAGAGGGCATTATTTATTCTTCTAAATTTAGAAAAATTGTCGATAAGTTAAAGAGTATTCTTAACTTTAAAAAAATGAATTTGGACATAGGTTGGATAATTGGACGTTTGGATAATAAGGGTTTGGATAATCCGTGCTCTACTGTAATTCTTTTATACTGCGCATTTTGTGGTAAATTGCATTTGGAAAATAATAAAAGAAGTCTAATTCGAATATCCTTAAAATTTAAAAAGTTTCAAGCATTTTTTTTTATTAGTTTTCTCAAAAGAAAGCTCAAAACATGGAGCTTTCAACAAATTTCATTTAGTAATTAAACAAGATATATTAAAAATTACACCAGCATTGCTGATGATCATCCTCCATAAAAGTATATTTTCCTTCGCATGTATCTTTTTTTTAAAAAATTTATTTCAGTGTATTAACGTTTATTGTAAGGTATTATCGTTTGTTATCTGACATAAAATAATATTTGTAGAAAACCCCTTGTCCTTTTGACTTTCTTTTAAAAAGCACAAAAACTACATAGAAAATTGCTTGGAACTAATTTTTAGGATATTCAAATCAGGCATTCTTCATTAGTTGCCAAATGCGATTTATTACAAAATTGTGAAAAAAAATATTAAATTTTTTCCCATACAGCATAAAAGAACTACTTTAATTACTTATATATTGCACAGTTTTCGATGAGTTTTTTTTTTTTTCAAATTTAAAAGCAAAAATTTTGTATTTAATTTTGAATTGCTCTATAAATTTTGCTTAATTTATATTTTTAAAGTTATAGCAAAAAAAAACTTAAGACAAAAAATAATTTTTATAAAATTGTCCATATTGTCATGAATATTAAAGTAAGGATAGCAAAATTTCATGCAATTATTGCATATAGTAACCAAAACAATTGTTACTAGTTATAAACTTATAGCTACATTTTTTGGCAAAGGTTGTTCAAAAACTCCATTTTTCCTTTGTAATTTATTGTCGGTCCTTCAAATTTCTAAAAGCTTTAAACATCATTGATAAGATGAGAAATCACATGATCTAAACACTTCTGAAGTTATGAAATGTGTCTAAGCATTTCCTGAAAAATATGAAAAAAATGTATTAATGAAGAAGTTTTCCAATTATTTTGGTTACCCCTATATGCTTATACCGAGAAATTATGTGATTGGATCAGGGACTGATCAAGACAAATTCACGACCAAAGCCAAACAAATTTTCCTAACCCCTTACAAAATGTTTTGAAATTAAATTACTGAAGATCATGGATTTTATTACAAAGATCATGGATTGTATTACAAAGATCATGGATTGTATTTTAACCTGAGATATACATTCTGGTCTTTTTGACGCGTTCCGCGGGACGGTGCAATATGGACTTATGATTATTAATGTGATTAATTATTCTCCATTTAAACAAAGATTTTTTAATTTTTTCCTCAAAAAGGTACCATACTTTTAGCTCTTACGACAAGCTTTCAAAATTATATATATATATATATAGCAAGGAGTATCCTAACAATAAAAATCTATTGAACTTCATAAAATTCAAGAGAATCAATCTAAGAAATTTTGAAAGCAGACAATTGAAGATTATTTTTCTAAGATAAAGTTTATGCATCTATAAATTAAAGCAAAATATAAAACAGCAAAACAATTGCATGTCAAAATAAAAATAGCTTGGTGACCACAGACAATTGAAATCAGTGATTTTTGCTAAAAGTCACTGATTACCTGAATTATTTTTTATTCCAAGTTGTAATTATTTTTTATTTAGTCTCACCTTTAAGCCAAAGCTAGCCCACCTTTCATTAGACTTAATAATAAGTTCAGCATGCATGCTAAGATATTTAGGATATTAATTATAATTTTTATTAAAAAAATACATTTCAACATAGAAAAAATATCCAAAAGAGCCAAAATTACATCTTCTCATAGAAAATTAAAAACACATTTGAATAATTTAATTAGATATAACAACTTTTAAAAAATTAAGATTCATATTCAATTGAAAAAGTTATATTCAAAATATTGATACAGTTAAAACTCTCAATGAATTCAATTAAAACTCCCAAACAAAAAAATTTTTACAACTCTCAATGAGAGCAGCTTCATCAGAAACAGATGGCTCTAATTTATCAACAGAGAAATATTTTGATGAAGAATTTTTTTTTTGTTAGCTTTATCATTTAAAGTTTTTCTTTCTTTTTGCACAACCAGATTGAAAATTAGATATCATCATTCCAAAGCTATCACGAAAATCAAAATTTTAATACTGTAGAAGTGTATAACTCACTTAAAAACATCAACATCTAAAATTGTTGCTCTCTGTCTACAACTTTACATATTTGTTAAGAATAAACTTATAGCTCTTGTTGGCACTCATGAATTATAAGAGACTTAGCAAATGTGCATTCTCGTTGCATTCGTTTAAGCAATTTGCGAAAAAATTGCACCAATTAAAATGCAGCTGTACTTTCAAATTTGATTAGTGCAATGTTTATGTGAGTTTGATTATATCATGATATAAAGAAAATTTGAAACACAAATATGCTTTTTTGGAGAAAAACTGTTTTTTCAATATTTAAAAGAAACAGTAATATTGAGGACTTTTTACTAATTTTTGAGACACTTCAGAAATTTAGCATAGGGGATAATTAAGCACTGGTTTGTGTCTGATTTTGTAAACTCATTAATAGCTCACACTAATTAATTAACATATCTGAGATCATCGCTGGAACCATTAAAATGACAATTAGTACATAAAACTAAAGTTATTTAGGATGATATCTTTTTGTGTGTGTAACTGCAGAATATATCATTCCTGAAAAATCAGATATACTACTTATTTAATAATTTATAAACAATTTTCTTCTAAGAAAAAATCAAATCACATGGCTTTACCCCAGTAGTTGGGTAATGATTTTTTTATTCCGGTTTGTTCCAATTATTAAATATATTTTTTCTAATAGCGTTAATGAAAGTAGTATAACCAAAACATGTTCACTATTTTGTAATGATATTATATTTAATTTTTATACGTTGTTTAATGTTTTTTCAGCAACTAAAGGTCAAAGGTAAGCTTCTTAAAAGGTTTTTACATCAATATGCTTCTCCATATTTATAATATTTAATAGCAAGTAACACCACCTGGAATCAGTTAGGAAGTGAGTCCAATGGGTTATGCAGGTACGTCGAATCCAGTTTAAGCCACTCGCTGAGGATTTGATCACGCAAATCCACCAAATTGCGAGAATGCTGAATTCGGCATTTTGCCCGTTATTCCAACATGTCCCACAAATTTTCAATGAAGTTGAAGTTAAGTGATTTTGCAAGCCAATCGAGATGTAATTGCGTGTCTGAGTGTTCATAAAATCAGTCATATATTCTTCAAGCCTGATGAACTTTGCTGTTGTCATCTTGAAAAATAGGGGTATCGACAACACACCCTTCATAAAGATGTTGACTGAAAGGCAACATCTAATTATCCAGAATGTTCAAATAAACATGTTGGTTCATGTTAGTGGCCACCTCAGTGAGGGGGCCCAATCCATAATAATAAAAACGCCCCCAAAACATGACAGACCCATCTTCGGCTTGAACCTGACCTAGCACACAGTCAAAATAAAGTGCGTCATCTGCTCTTCGTTGCACTCGACGACACGCCTCTTTTCAATAAAGGCAAAAACGTGATTCATCAGACCATATTACATTCCACCAGTTAGCAACTGTCCACGTTTAGTGACTTCTAGCCCACTGAAGTCGCGCAGGTTTATGTGCTTGTGTGAGCAATGGCCTCTTCTGAGATGTTCGACTCCAAATATTCATTGTATGCAGTTCCAGTCGCAATGTTCTCTCCCTTCCAGGTTGGAATGGACCTTCATTTACAAACTAAAGCACTTCCTGTCAGGTTTGGAAGTGATTTTGATTGACAAGTCGGGAAGCATGTCTCCGGCTCCTTTCATGCAGGATTTTTTTCCGACCACAATTCTGACGTCGTACTTCGTGACCACGTGTATTACACCACTGCTTGTAGACAAGTTGAACAGTCCGCATCGAAACACCACCAAATCCAGCAACTTCACTCACCGTATGACCATGGTCATGGCCAAACTCAAATGCCTCTTTTGCCACTAGATCACATCTTTACACTTATCCATATTTACACACAATTTCAGCTTCAAACAAAAATATCTCACTGATAGCTACTTGCTTTGATCATGTTGAAGCAGTGTGCAAGCAATTGAACACGTCATTTGACCACTGCATCATCTAACGAAGCCTAAAGATTCATCGGAGCTTGCGAACTAGGGTGACTAATTTTTTGTCCAGTGAGCTTATCACAAAGGATATCTTTTGTTTTCATGATGATAACCTTAATGATTTCTTAGTGTTTGATGCAATTTATTTAACTATCTTTAACAGTTTTATTAATGTTATCAACTTCTCTATTAAAATTATCAGCTTATTCGTAATATATTGATTACAATGGATGAAATATGTCATCTAATGTTATCAATTAACTTGAGCAAAAATTATACTCTATGATGATTTATCTCGAGAGACAATTAGGTTTGCATAGTTAGTACAAAATTTACAATTTATGCAAAAATGTTGGGAAAATGATAAGTTAAAACTGCTACACTCAAATTAAAGAAGAAAAAAATAAGTCCAAAAGTGACTTTTTTTTTTAAAGATACAGAAATATAAACTAAGTATTTAAACTTTAAATCATGATGATATAACACTTCATTTACCAATAATTTCTCTATGCAAGAAATGAAGAATTCTCCCTCATCAAAATCCTCAGGTATTGGTACACTGGAGATATATTTCTGAAGTTTTTCCTAATAAAAGAAAACACACGTTAAAATCTGTCATTGAATTTTAAAAGAAATTGCTATTTGAGCCAAAATTTGCTCACTCTTTTATAGTATTTTACATGTGATTCTGATTAGAACTCATTCACATAATTTTTAAATAAATCATCACTTAAACTTTTCTAAATCAAATATAATGCTAAATAAAATTGAAAATTTGTTTAAATAAACAAGTTTTCATAAATATTTACTCATCTTCCTTCAAAAAGAATACAACTAATTGCAATATTAAGGTGGTTTTTCTAAGAAAATTATTAAATAAAAATCAATGACCAAATTACTTTTTTTAACGTTTATATAAAGAAACCTTGTATAAATTACTAACTTCATCTAAATTAAACTTTATATAAATTACTTAACTTTTTTATAAATTACTTTTTTTATATAAAGAAACATTTCTTTAAAATAAACAACCATTTTTCAATTCATAAAAAATAGGACTTTAATAAAATTAAACAGCAATTACAAACAAACTGTCGTTCAATATCTGTTATAAACTTAAAAAGCTTTTAGAAATTCAAGAAAATATTAGCTACTTACGGAAAGCTTTATAAATTCTGCAACGTCTGATATCACAACATCATGTTCGATTTCTTCTCTCTCATGCATGTTGCTCTCATCTACTTCTGTTCTACATACAATTGCTATATGTTCTCTTGTCTCTTTTCTTTTTTTATGTCTCATTTGTTTTGGACTCTTTTCTTTTCTTTTGCGTCTGTTTTCTTTTCTTTTGCGTCTGTTTACTTTTCTTTTGAGTCTGTTTACTTTTCTTTTGCTTCTGTTTACTTTTCTTTTGCATCTGTTTACTTTTCTTTTGCATCTGTTTACTTTTCTTTTGCATCTGTTTACTTTAGGAACCTATAGAAATTTAAATATACAAAAGAATAAGAAGTAGCACTATTGTAAAGTGATAAATAGTAAAAAATTAAAAAGCAACATAGATATAATTTCTTCTGTTAAAATTATTTCAGTTTTCATACAAATTGTAACATATTAAAGTGGTTTGTTGAATAAATTACTGACTATAAGGAGGTTCTTAAAAATGGGTAAATGGGTCATGGGTATTACACTAAGATGGGTATTTTCAAAAAGCTATAGTGCTGAAAAGATATCTTGTGTAAAAGGCAGAAATTTGATAGAATTTTTCTTTAAACTAGTTGATATATTCTGGCAGTGCATTGTACTAAAATTCCATAAAAAATTACACAAATTTAAACATTTTTAAAAGTATCACACTCTCTTTTTTAAGCATCTCTCTGAAAGGCTTACCATCTCAGAGAGACGAGAATCTAGAGCGTCAAAAAGTCGTAATTCAAATTTAAAATTTGTGTGTCATAATAACACTGTATTAATAATATTGAAATTTGAAAGCCAAGGGGAAAGAGCAGAAAAAACTATCAGCCAATAACTTAAACTTACATTGCGGAAATGCTAAAACGAATTGGAAAAAAACAAGTGGAAATTGCTGAAAAAACGCCGTGGAATGTTGGAAAATGTAAATGAAGTGTAAACAAATAGATGGGCAGTGTTTTTCCCTTTTCTCTGTCACTTCCTGGGGGAAGATGAGTCACTTTCTATTGTGTCGTAGCTAGAAGGAAGTGGGTGTTTTTGTAGTTAGTTATGTTCTGCTCTTGATAGAGTTATTTAAGTTTTGTTGAGTGTAGTTTTCTTTCTTTGTATTAAAAGTTATATTTTCTTTTTAATAAACATAGTCTTTTTAATAAACAGCTTAATAAGATGGTTCTTTTTTCTAGACTTTTTATGGGTCACAGCATTTTTGAAGGGGGCCGTGACTGATGTGTATTGATAATTTGAATATACTTTGAAAAGCTGGAAAAGTAAATAGCACTGCTACCTGAAGGCTTTTAACTTATTAAGGTAGAATAATTGGGATAGGTGGAAGATAGACATTAAAATTTTGTTTTAGGATAAAGGCTGTTGGAAGTTCATAGAAGGAAAGGAAGAGTTAAAAGTTTCAGCTACAAGAAGGAAAAAATAGAAATTTGAATTAAGAAAAGATAGATCATTTTCAACTCTGTGTTATGCAATTAAGCTAGAGTTCAGACCACTAATTCAAGATTGTCTAGATGGGAAGAAAGCTTGGGAGAAATAGGTTCAACAATTTAAGCATAAAACAAGAGCTAGACTTATTCAGATACTTTATGAGTTTAGTATAAAGTATCAAGCAAATGAAAGCATGGGTATTTTAATTGCTAGACTTAAAACAGAACTGAAAAAGCTTAGTAAAACGGGTCATGAATTGGATTAATTGTTTCAAGGCTTCCAAGCAATAAGGCATCTACCATCTGAATTCTCAGTTCTATAGTTCAGTTGATTTATTGTTGAAAACATGAAGATTTTACTATTGATAAAATTGCTGAAGAACGGATAAGGGAAGAAAGCAGACTTACACAAGTGAAAGGTGATATTCGTTTGGAGGTTAGTGCTTTCAATATTTCTTCTATAAGTAAAGATGTTGAAGAAAGATATAGAGACAGAAAAAAATCTCACAGTAAAATTAATGGTAGAAAATAACAGAAAAGTCATTGGTCTATGTCATCAGTGCCACAATTATGGGCATTTAGTTGTAAATTGTAGAGCTAGAAATACAAAATGTAAGCTAGAAATACAAAATCAAAGTGGAATAAACAGAAAATAAATTTCAATGACCAGTCAGCTACCTTAGTTCAGATTTATACATCACACTCTGTAGAAGTTGGTGAAACCATGATTAGAAACAATGATAGAATTTGGGTTTTGGATTCAGCTGCAATACACATTTCTGTAAAAACAAAATGTTAATGGCAAGTTATGAAGAAACAAATAATGTAGACATGGCTTTGGCTGTTAGGAATACTTCTAGTAAGCTACTAGGAAAAGGAACTGTTGAATTTTCAGTTAAACTCGGAGAAGAAATAAGTAATATAACAAATGTTTTGTACCATGCAAGTATTCACAGAAACCCAATATCTATTTCACCCTTAGAAGCTGCATGAGCTAATTTTGTTGGAACTAAGGGAAAATTATGAGTATATTCAAATGATTAAAATAAATTATTTTTTGCCACTAGAATAAATGGATTATACTACTTGAAACCATACAAATATAAGACTGGAGCTTCAAAACCTGAAGGATTTAATGTTGACACTTGTAAATCAGGAACAGATATAGCTACATTGTGGCAAGGAGATATTGTCATATTAATCTTAACTACCTTAAAGAAAGTAGCAAGAACCAGAATGTAATGGGATAACCCAATATAGAAAACCAGATAAAGATTGTGACACTTGCCTCCTTGTCACATCCAATAGAATATCATTTAAATCAGCTCCAAGTCGTACTTCTCAGCCACTAGAAGTAGTATATATGGATATCTGTGGTCCAATGACGAAAACTTTGACACAAAGAAAAAGGTATTTTTTGGCAATTATAGATTATTGCAGTCATGCAGTAATTTTATACCTTATGAGGAATAAAATCAAAGCATTTAGAAATTAGTAAGAAAATAAAGTGTATTATGAGTGACAAAGGTGGTAAGTTCTGCAATAACCAATTTGAACAATACTTAGAAGACTATGGACTTTGTGCTGAGTGAACTAATTAATGAGAAAAAAATGGTGTCCGTAAAAGATTTAATAGTACTGCTCTGGATGCCATTAAATCTATGTTGAAAGATAGTAACATGAATGAAGAATGGTGGACTGAAGTTTACTTACTGTGGACTGAAGTTTACTTACTGAATTACTGTTTTGTTCATACATGGAACAAAATTTGAAGTAAAGGGAAAGAAAACACTGTATGAGATGTTATATGGAAAGAAACAACCAATAATGTATTTTAAAGTGCTTGGATGTAAGGCTCATATTGGTGTACCTAAACAAAAAAGGAATAAATTCCAAACATGTGCCAAAGAAGGTGTAATGCTAGGCTTTGTTTTTTTGAACAAGAGCTATCGTATCTACTTACCTAGAAATCATAATGTTATAAAACAAAAAATTTTAAATTCAATGAAAATTAATTTGCAGTGGAAGTCATCCAGGAATCAAGCAGTAAAACATCAAGAAGAGAAAAATGGTATGGAAGAGAAGATTCAGATGATTAAGACATTATTCATAAGCCAGAATTTGACTTAAGTTGTACAACCAAAAAACCAATGAATCAAATAAATTGTGAGACAAAGAGAGACTTGTTAACAGATACAAGGATTCAAGCAACAAGGAATTCACTATTATGAAGTGTACAACCCTGTGGTAAACTTTCTCTCATAAGACAATTTCTAACTATTTTCGTAGGTTTAATGAACTGGGTTCAATGTCAAGTTAATGTGTAAAGTGCATATTTAAATGCAGACTTAACAGAAGAAATTTGTATGGCACAACTTTAAGGTTTTGTAGTAGATACATCAAAAGTGTGTAAATTAAAAAAAGCAATATATGGATTACATCAATCAGGTCTTAGTGGTACACTGAAGTAACTAGTGTGTAGTACGAAACTTAAAAAAATAAATTGGTGCAATGAAATATTCACAGATTATGTGTTGCTATTTTAATATGTAGATGATATCGTGATATTAGGAAAAATTAAAAAAATGCATAGATCTTATTTTAAAAGAGTTGAATCAAACTTTTGAATTCAAGATTTTGGGAGAAACAATTAAACTTTTAGGCATAAAATTTGAGAAGATTAATGGTCATTTAGCAAATGATACAAAATTCCTGAAGTATCATCACCAATAGCTAAAGGATTGAATTTGTATATGCAGGGTTGCCCGCAAACAAAAATAAAGAAAGCTGAATGGAAAATACTCCATGTCATAGTGTTCTTGAATGTGTATTTTTTTATAACAAGTAGGACAAGGCCTGAAATATCTTATGTTGTTAATATTTTATCACAGAATCAAGAAAATCTTGGTATCAAGCATTGGCAATCCCTACTGAAACTATTAGGGTATCTGCAATATACAAAGGAAAATAGGCTAGATTTGTCAGAAATCTCAGATTTATCAATAAAGTGCTACACAATTGGGTTGGCTGTTTAACGAAGGACATGAAATGAAATTAAAATAAAGTGCTACACTGATGCGGACCATGGATCAAACAGAGATGACAGTGTCAATAGGAAGAACTATTGTATATGTAGGTAATATTCCTATCCCGTGGAAAACCTTTAAATACAAGTGCATCAATTTCTATCATGGAGGCTGAGTATATCTCTTTATCCAAGTCATCCATAAAAAAACATTTGACCAATGGGCAACCATTTATTGCAATAATGTGATCTCTCTCTCTCTCTCTCTCTTGTAATTAAACTGTTATTATAAATAGTTTTCTGTATTTTTTTAATTCATTTATTAACTAATTAGAATGTAGTCTCCAAATATTTTCCTAAATCAAATTCTAAAAAAAGTCTTTTCTTTCTTTTAATAGTTTTTTTCTGGATTGATTCTGTTTTAAAAAAACATTTCAACTTCAAATAAAATTTATGTAAACATCATCTAATATCTAGTAACTTATTCTTAATTATTTTATAGTTTAAGTTAATAAGTTTTGCAATTATAGTTGGAATGAAGAGGTTGCACAAATAAGACATTGGTGAGTTTAATTTCTACTTTTATTTTGTAAAAAAATCTTCTCTTTAATCAGTTTCTGCTTGTTATTAGTTATAACGCATATACAGTATACATGAATGTTTAAATCATTAATACATAGTGATAGACTCAGAGAATTTAGTTTTCCCAAAAGAATGGTAAAAATTAAATGTTCTTACTACCCTTTTTTAATCTTTCCTGCATAATTTTACAATTTTTACTAGCATTAATTATTAAAATAAATGGACTTCGGAGCAAAAATCTAAATTATTTGATTATTTTAAATACAAATTTGCATCAAAAATATGAAACATACACAAATCAAGACTATGAAAACCAGAAGTTCAACAGCAGGGCAAAATATTTTATCAGGAAAGTCAGGAATATCAGGATAACTACGAATCCTGCATTAATGTTTTTTCATTTTGATAAAATATTTTAAAAATTATTCAATTTGGGCAAATAAATAATTAGAAATCAGTCCTTCAACAATTAAAGTTGATTTGAAACGAAAGTTGAAATTAAACTTAACATAAACCGAACTTTTTCATAATATAAATTTGTGGTGTTATTTTCTTCATGCACAACATGAAGATTCATATTTCTATTCATGCATATTCATATTTCTATTAATTGTTTATATAAATTAAAACAATTTATGCTCTAATTAAAATGCATATTGTGACTCCAGTTCTGAGCCAACTTTTAGGAACAGCATCTTTTTTCTCCTTCCTTTATTCCTTTGACCCCTCATAATAAATTCACATCAAAAAAAGAATAAAAAGAACAGGAGAAAAAGTAATCCCTCTTATATAAATTCTCACACACTCAATTTCTCCATAAAGCTGTTGTTTTGAGAAAGAAAAGTAGCTTAATAACTTATTGTAATGAATCCACCCTCTGAACTTTTCAAGGATTTTTATTGACCTCCAAGGGCTAAGGTTTTAAGTGTTTCCTCCACTGTTCTTTATTCCTCTTCCTCATAGACATTTCAGTTTCCTTGAGAGGTACCAATGGCCTGAAGTTTCTTCATGCTTTTTAAAATTTTAACCGGAAATATTTGTGCATAAAGAAACATTAAAAACGGATAATTAATTAGTTTAAACTTTCAAAAATTTGAATTATTATCATAATAAATTTGAAATAAATTTAATAAACTATATTTCGAGCTTGTAAATCAATGACACTTTTTCTTGAATCTTCTTAAACAGTATGAGTTCCAGAAAGATAACATTGTAAAACAAAGTATTTATTTACTACTATATAAACAAATTGAAGAATAAAATACTGAGTTTCATATCCGATAGCCGAAGTTTGTGATAGCCCGAAAACAATGACATTTCTATATGATAGTTAACTACATAATTTTAAATAAAAAAATCCGAAATTCAAAATGAAGTTCTAAAGAAAAAAAAATAAGACTTTTTAAAATTCCATTTTGTGAACTTTTCCAGTAATGATGTTTAGCTTTAGAAGCACCTAAAAAAAAGCACAGAAAAAAAATTTAAACCTAGTACTTTTCAGTAACTTAAAATTGTAGTTGGATCTGTCTTTAATGAAAAACTAATATAGAAAAAGATATAGCATAAAATATGAAGAAAAAAAACTTCTGAAGTATATGAAAGATAACTAAGCCTTTTTTGTTAAGTAATTAAAATAAGATGTCTAAACGATCAAAATTAAATAAAATGGTCAAGGTAACAATAAAAACCATAATCTAAATTTGAAACATTTACTGAAAAAAGAGACATTGTGTTGTAATCATCTTCATCTTCAGTTTCTTCTAATAAGGAGGTCCAATCACCAATTAAGTTAGCCAAGGCTTTCTGAAATTTAAAAATATATATATACTTAAGTACATAAAAATAGCACAAAAGTAAATAAGATTGAAAGAAAAAAAAATTGTATATGAGATTAATTAAAATATCTGTCTTGTTAAGGCTTAAGTTCTGATATATACAGTGATGGAATTCAAACTGTACAGATTTGTTGGTTCATTGAGCTCTCATAATTTTTTGCATTAGTTTTAATTTTTAACCAATAAAATTATTCATTTTTTAAATAGGCTGAGGTATCAAACTTATACTGTGTATCATTGGATTTATAAGAACATGCAGAAAACTGCTGGTGCTAATAATACAAAAAAACATCACTCTAAATAAATTAAAAACTAGTGATTTGTTTTTGGCTTCAGTGATTAATTTATATTTCATTGCTTCCATTATTTTGCTTGATTTAATTTAATGATAATAATTGGCAATTTCCTGGCAAGTGCTGTCTCAATTTTTTATTTTTACAATAAGTATATTTAAAACAAGATGTTTTTAAAATTACTGTTTTCTAAGTAATCTGATTTTAAGTTTTAAAAAAAATCATTTTTTAGCACATTGTAAATTTGGAACTTATTAAACACTAATATAACAGTTGGCATACTATTCAGCATTTATAAAAATGAATTAACTTCTTCCTTTTAGCATACATAATTTAGTTTTATTAAGATTTTATTGAAAAGTACATCATCAGTGCTTAAAATTATAGGAGTAATTCATTAATGTTATTAATCAAATTAAGTAAAATGTCAGGCTCCAATAAAGTGGCCACAAACACTTAAAAAAATTGCTGATTTTTCCAGGCTAATCTCATTGAGTTTCCTTGAGTTATATAATTCATAAACTTTGTTATTAACTTTTCTGAAATACCTTGATCTTATACATAAAGTATATTACAGAACATTTAAATTTGTTATTAGAGTTGTATAAATTATGAAAAATCATTACAAGACCCAAGTTTTAGTAAAAAGTCTTGGACTTTAATGTACCTCAAACTCAGATTTATTCACTTTCTCTGAGTATTTGGTTATTTTAATTAAATTGTCTGATATATTTCTGTGTTGTTCATCACACATTTTCTTTTTCTACAGTTTTTATTTTACCCATTTTTCAATAAAACACATTTACTTTCCTTTTTTAATTTGACATCCATTTTGAACCTTTATCTTTCTATGTAAGCTTTAAGCTAAGACATAATATGAATTCCAATTACAGACCTGCCAACTACTACGCTTTCTGCAAAATATTTCATACAGTGGTAGACATTTAAGAACCAAAGCTTTCAGATTTTTTGTTAATTTTGCCAACATTTTGAAAGCCTCACCATGAGATAACTGGAACAAAGTGACGCCGTATATAAATTTTTAAATCATTCATTCATAGTGGTGTGGAAAATAAGTTTAAATGAATTAAAAATAATACATTAAAATATAAACATAGCTACCACTAAAATAAATATTTACAAAAAGCGAAAAAAGTTGGCAGCCCTGCAATTATTAATGAAAATGTCATTGGAAGGGGATTTTTTTTTTTTTTAATTCTGTGTGGTGAATTTCTGCGGTAACAACCAGCATATATGATTTTTCTTGTGCTCAGTTGATAAAATAAAATAGATAAGATATAAATGAAATGCTTTAGAATCATTTCTTGTTCGTTTCTACATTTTGAATTTTGTGATGTCATCACTTCATTCATTTCTACATTTTGAATTTTGTTCACTTCAATTTTCCTGATTTTTCCAGGTTGATAAAATTTTGGCTTTTCCATATTTTCCTCAATTTCCCTGTTCATAGTGGGCTTTATACCTCAGTTTAGTGATTAAAAATAAAAGCGGGTCGTAAATATGTAGATGCCACTCCAAAAGTCATAGATTACTATATTTTAGATGTAGGGAAATTAACTATCAAAGCTTAAATTTTTTAATTTTGAAATCGCTTGCAAACTTCTCTGCACCATCCTCAGGTCATAAATATTTGTTTAATTTGTTTACCTAAAGTTTAAATCTAAGTCATAGTGAATCAAATTTATTAAATCAAAAATGGAATAAATAATAAAATTTACTGCCAGTTAAAATATTAAAATAAATTATTTAAATGGAAAAAGTGTGCACACATATATAGTGATGCAAAATATAGAATCAAACTTTAAAGTTTAAAGATATTTTTGTAGTTTGGCTTATAGGATGATACAACCTGTCTCTCATTTATTACAGAACCCATTTCTTAAATGCAAGTTAAAAGTTTGTACATTTTTTACATGAATACAATGAATAACTTTATCAATTGTTGTAACAATGATGCAGGAGAAAATAGTTAATATGCTTAAATTATGAATTTTCATTTATCACACCAATACTGTAGTTCAAAATAAAGTTCTAAAGCCAAACTAACGTTATAGTATTCAGCAATTTCCTTCCGTCCAGAAAAGCAATTTATCACTAGCAATGATCATCTTGTAAAATAAAAACAAATAATTTAATTTTGCAGCAATGGAATTTTATTATATAAAAATAGTTAAACCAAATATTTTAGGAAAAAAAGTGAGTTTGCCAAACTGTAACTTCTGTTATTTGTGAACTAGCAAATTATTTTCTACTGCATTAATGTTGCCAACAACAGATAAAATGATTAATTTATATACATATGAACAGTAAAAGCTTGATATAAAAAGTACAATATATTACCACAAATCCACTATTATGACAAATTTCCAAGTCAGTGTCAAAATGCTAATATTAAAGGAGTTAAAATTTGCTAACCATCTGTCATAGCAACAAAAAATTTAAAAGGAAAGACATTTTTTTGCTGTTTAAATCAGAAAAATTATGCAAAAATGTGCAATTAAAGAAATCTGGTATAAAAACAGAAGAGTGAAATACCGACATAAATCTTATTTTATACTTCCATTTTTAAGCCCTTTTTTTAAAAAAAGCAAATACAGTATAATGTCCCATATCCGGACATCCCTTTCCCGGACACTTTTTAACAATCAAAATAAACAAACATCTCTTCATCTTCCCCTCTCCTTAAAAAAAAAATAAATAAAAAAAACAGAGAAGGAGAGAGGTTTTTGGGCACCTTTTCTAGCTTCAAGTGATTCATGCATTGAACCCATAAATCAAGAGAAAGAAAAGACCCCCCAAGACAGTTAAGTGATGCTGCTCCTCCTCAGGAATGCAGGAAAGTGGGGACATTTGTTTTCAAAAGAGTGCAAATGAATTCCCTCCCCCCTTCTTACTTGTGCAGCTGGCTAGTAAAAGAGGCATTTCCAGGAACCGTTTTATTAGAGTGTTAGGGAAAGAAGAAATACTGTGAAAAAGGGTAGTGGATGGGGAGTCACCTTCAGTCACATTAGAAAAAATAAAGAGAACCCAATCAGCATGCCATGCCTTTATGCTTGATTGATAGCTAATGATGGCAGAGAAAATAAGAATTTGTCACTGCCCTCAGCTTGAATGACAAATAAAGAGGAAATGAATTTTCTTCTCCACCTACCCACCTTAATTAATGACAGGAATTTTCCCTTCTTGCTTGAAGCATTCCAGTTCAAAATGGCGAAGAGAGCAATTAATATTTTCATAACTCTCCAATTTTTTTTCATTCTCTATATTTTAAACAATAGTTGTTTTCCTCTAATATTTCGTTTTTGATTGATTAGATATCATTCTAATACTAAAACATTATTGCTTGAAAAATAATGCTTATTTATTTTTTGCTTCTTAGATTCAGCTTTAAGCTTTGTTTACCTTAGGGGTCAATTATACGGAAAAATCTTATATCCGGACTTCCAAAAGTCCCACTGATTCCAGATACGCGACTTTCCACTGTATAGGTGTTTTAATTTCCATTTAACAAGTTAATTGAATTCGGGCTACACTTTTTTTATTAATAGAAGGGAATAAATAAAATATTAACGCAATATATGTTTGATTAGAACTTCAAATTAAAATCTTTAAATCATCTGAGAGTTTTTGTAAGTTTTTGTATTCTTGAACAATACAGTAAGGGTCAAAGATAAATTTGAAGACATTTGGAATTTATCCTTGATACTTAAATTTGACCATTTCAGGGATGAGAGTAGTCAGAAAGTAAAAAAGAGGAAATCCAAAAAACAAAAAAAAGAAAAGAAAAAAAAAGAAGATGAAGAAGAAAAAAAAAAATTCTTGGAAGATAAATTATATCAAATTCGCCGTAAGCATAAAATGTTTGCATAATTTATATTAGTATTTTGTCGGTGACTTGAAATCTTGTCGTAACAGTGAAATTTTTGTAATAAGCGATACTCGTTATATCGAATTTTTACTGCATTTAAAACCAAAAGAATAAA